TTGGGTGTGAATTTTTTTGATTTTTTTTTTTAATAAAAGGGTAATTTAGTATTTTAGGGGTGCGGTACGTAGTAAAATGGGTGCGGTATTTAGCAATTCAGATTAATAAAACCAAACTCGGCCACACCGTCCAATACCCCCTTTCCTTTCCAGTGGGACCTACATCCGAACTTGACTCACATTCCCACTGCATTTCTCGTGTATTTCAACGTCATTTCATTTACATTTACATTTCAATTTCATGTCCATTTCCATTCTCCATCCGGTCTCCATTTCAATTTCAAAACCGCCCTTCACACTCAATTTTCTCTCTCTAGGGCACACCTAAACCACTTTCTCTCACTAAAAACTACAGTGCAAAAAAGCTTCCTTTCATTTCTTTCCCGATTTTTCCTCCAACTAATAACATACACACCTCTATGTATGTAGCGTAAGAACTTCGCGTTTTTCTCTCTTTCTTCTTTTCGTTGCTCGTAAAGTCTTTGCTATGAAGATCGTCTTGTCTGTTACAGATTTCGTCAGTTTCTGTATCTTGCTGTTCGTTTAATTGAATAATGAGTGAGTGATATGGTCTGCTTGCAGATCTTGGGTGAAGGTTTCGTTTTTTGGGATCTTTGGTGAGTTCCTTTCGATTTGCTTATTCCATTTATTTTTTCCCACTTTAGCTACTTGATTTGATTTGTGCAGTCGTTGACTTAAATTTGAACGGATCTGTTTTGCTGTATGTATTTCCGATTTGATTTAATTAGTATTTTAAGAGTATTAGCGGCTGAACGCGATTCTGATGGTGCACTGCCTAGTGATTTTATGATGATTGTGCTTTTTTTTAAAAATAAAAATATTTTTAATAACGATTCTTATGCTTTGTGTGGATAAGTATCCTGAGATTTTTTGTGGATCGTGAGTTGCCGCAGTTGTGAGCATATGGTGAACATATGCCTTTCACCCAAGTATTTTTGTCTTACAGGGTTTATTAATAAGCATGTTAGAATTATTTGCNAATGGAGTGTAAAGGTAGATTCTTTTGACCACTCCTTAAATTTTGTCAGTAGGAAAATATTATTTTGGTTCCTTGATGTGCGACTTCTCTTTTCTTCTGTTTCTGTGTTGAAAATTTGTGGATCTTTTCTCTTAAGGGGGTATCTTTAGATATCATGTATTTTGAAGTTTACTTTGTTCCTTATCTTATAGATTAAAGTGGGGTTGTAAAACAGGTGCTGCATATACGGTATTGCATAAAATTGGTGGCCTTTTTTTTATGACAATTTTTGGTATGATAGTGTGCTTTTCATACTGTTTATGCTCTAACAATATATTTAGCTTTGTGTGTGGCTGCGTTGAATTTTAGAATTACCTTCTGATGGCGGATCTGCAACGATTTAGAAGTAAATGGATTCTTGGTGCAATTTATGAAACTTTGTCTGTATTTGAATTCAGAAATATTAGCTTCCCTTGGTGGATTGTATTGCTTTTTAGGGACAACCAACCCTTATAATTTCACTCCTGGACCTTACTATTTTCATTTCAAGAAGTTTCTGTGTGTCCTTTACGTGTATCTCATCAAGGCCTTACAGCCATCACAAGTGCTTTACCTAACAAATTATATATGTTGACTTGCAGTTGACTAGATTATGTGCAGTGGGCCTGATCAATCAAATACAAGTTCGACCACCAAGACATCTTCTGACAACACATCAAACAACATGGACTTAAACAAATTATCTTCAGAGATGAGTACTCCCTTTTCCAGCTTGCTTGAATACGCCGCCAACAACGACGCCGAAGCTTTCAAGAGATTCGTCGAGCTCGATCTGCCAGGCATTGATGAGCCTGGACCTTGGTACGCCCGCAAGATGGGTTCCAAGCAGATCACCCTCGAAGAACGAACTCCATTGATGGTAGCCGCCACCTATGGCAGCCTCGACGTATTGAAGCTTATAGTCACTCTGCCTGAAGTCGATCTGAACAAATCGTGTGGCCTCGACAAATGGACTGCTCTCCATTGTGCCGCCTTTGGAGGCTCAGTCAACGCAATTGACGTCATTAAGCTCCTGTTATCCGCTGGTGCCGACCCCAATGTTACGGATTCAAACGGCCGCCGCGCATCTGACGTAATCGTTGCCCCTCCAAAGCTTCCTGCCGTGAAATCCTACATCGAGGACTTGCTCAATAACAATACTTTCGACGGATTTGTCGGGGATTGCAATTTACACGTCTCGATATCTTCACCCGTGCTCTCATCATCCCCAGAAGAAAACCGGTCCCCACATTCTCCATCGGGAAAGCTTCTCTCCTCCACCAACTCCGTCTCGGAAAAGAAACATTACCCAGTGGACCCCTCTCTTCCCGACATCAGGAACAGCGTCTTCTCCACGGACGAGTTCCGCATGTTCTCGTTCAAAGTCCGGCCTTGCTCGAGGGCCTACTCCCACGACTGGACCGAGTGCCCCTTTGTCCACCCTGGCGAGAACGCCCGCAGGCGGGACCCGCGCAAGTTCCACTACAGCTGCGTGCCGTGCCCGGACTTCCGAAAGGGCGCCTGCAGGCGCGGAGACATGTGCGAGTACGCGCATGGCGTGTTCGAGTGCTGGCTCCACCCTGCCCAGTACCGTACCCGGCTCTGCAAGGATGGCACGAGCTGCGCTCGACAGGTGTGCTTTTTCGCGCACACGCACGATGAGCTTCGTCCCTTGTATGTCTCCACTGGTTCGGGCTTACCTTCCCCGAGATCATCATCGGCCTCGGGCCCTACTTTCATGGACATGGCCTCTGCTCTGAGTATGTTCCCCAGTTCCCCGACCTCTGCAATGTCTCCTAATGGGATGTCTCCTGCTTGGCCTCAGCCGAATGTTCCCACTCTTCATCTTCCGGGCAGCAACCTCCAGTCGAGCCGCCTGAGGTCGTCCTTCAGCGCGCGTGACATCATCCCGCCTCCTGAGGATCTGAACCTTTTGCAGGATTACGAGGCCCAGCAGCTGGTTTTGAATGACCTGGCGTGTTTTTCGCAGCCACGTCAGAATTCTGCTATGTTGGGTTGCCGTCCCAAGGCAGCGCTAACTCCTTCGAATCTCGAAGAGCTTTTTTCTGCTGAGATCGGGTCTTCTCCGAGATTTTCCGATCAGTTTGGTGCCGCGTTTTCTCCTTCCCACAAGTCGGCCGTTCTCAATCAGTTCCAACAGCAGCAGCATAACAACGTATTGTCACCCATTAACACTAATAACGTCTTTTCTCCTAGAAATGTGGAGCACAGTTTATTGCAGGGCTCTTTTTCCTCTTCTCCAAGAAGCATGGAGCCCGGTTCCCCCATGAGTGCTCGTCTCTCGGCCATTGCACAGCGTGAGCGCCAGCAGCAGCTTCAGATGCGGAGCTTAAGCTCTCGAGAACTTGGGTCTACTCACCGTGGTGCCATGATTGGGTATCCACCCAACACAGGTTCGTGGGCATCGAGCAATAATAATAATAATAATGGTAAGTGGGGATCACCAAACGGGAAAGCTGACTGGTCAGTTGGTGCTCAGCGTCTGCAAAGGTCGTCCTCATTTGAACTGAAGAATGAGGGGGTGGAAGGAGAACCGGACCTTTCGTGGGTGCAGTCACTTGTAAAAGAATCACCACCAGAGATGGCGGACAAGGACAAGCCGCCAGCTGGCGGCCCCGTGCCATCCGGTGAGTGTTTGAATAATAATAATACTAATTCTCAGACTGACTTGCTCGATCACTCTGTTTTGGGAGCTTGGCTTGAGCAGATGCGGCTCGATCAGCTCGTAGTCTAGTCGGAACAGATTTGCGGACCTAATTGTTGTTAGGGTATATATAAGATCTTTGCTGGCTCTTTTCTTTTGCTGGTGGGGAAAAAAACATGGCAGGGGCGAAAAAGGTTTAGTGTCAATCCTCAGAGTCAGGCAAGTTTTATGGGATACAATGATGAATTTAATTTTTTTTTTTTTTTTCATGAAAGATGTAATCAATTTTAATCATTTGTTGATTATTACATTACAGTATGAGATTTCAATTTTTTGTTGATCAAAATCTGGGCTGTACCAATGAGAAACCCAGCCCAGTCTGGGCAATTTGTTCTTTTGTACTCTTGATAATTCTAAGTTCATATTTCTCTACCTTCATTTATTCCGGTTGCATTTCTGTTGATTATTTTGAATTCTTTTGTGCAGTGGCTTATTCTCATGTGATTGCTAATATGTTCTGTTATGCGACTGATTATTTCCAGATTATTTGTGAAAGAGTTGTTGGGATTTATGCGTAGTCTGAATTTTTGGGATTTGGTTGTGGAAAGCTTTAGGAATCAGTGGTTTTAGTAAAAAGAACAATTTTACAAGCAGCAACAATCTTGTAACTTGATATCTCACGAGCACGAGATTTGGTTTCATAGGATAATCAGAAGAGGTTTCATTTCATGGGATATGAGAAAAAGGCGATGTTGATGGGCAGTGGAAACTAGACAATGTAGAGGGGACCGATTGGTGGGCATATTTTAGTGTCACCAATTTTGTCAAAATCAGAATCAACTTGATAAAGTAGAGGTGGTGGGGGGTCCTGATAGTTTGGTAAACTGATGGATGATACATTGTGCTTGGTTAGGTTGATGGAGATATGTGGGTTCTACTTATTTATCAGCGAAATAAATTAAATAAATTCATGCATATCAGATCAGCTAGTAGTTCGGTGCTATTTTAACTTTGTATAAAAATGGGTCCAATACTTCACTAGATTCTTGCAGATAGGAATGGGGAATTGTGTTATCGCCTTCTAAATTATTGCTCCACGCGTTACCTCTTAAATAATTGAAATTTTTGAGATAATACTCTTTAGTCTTTATATAAACTAGGACATACCCCGTGCGATATGGAGATATTAAATTAGTTATATTAAATTAGTTATTTTCACATGCTGTATTCGTTTAAGTCTAGAAAGTGATAGGGTTATCATCTATTTTTCATTTCTTTCCATCAGCGTTAAGTCTACAAAATAATAGAGTTATATCTATTTTCCACCTCTTTTAATCAGCGTTGTTTTTTTTAACCAGAACATTAAATATGAACATGTTAGGACTAACTTGTAAAATAACTAATATATTATCTCACTAACACCTTTATACTAATATAAATTTGATTTTAGTATATATATTTATTTCTTGATATAAGAGAAAATAACAGTCTTACTTATTCTTGTTCACCATATAATACTTAATTATTATTTTATTATAAACTTTGTTGTCATATAATTTCATTATTATTTGTAAAAGTTATCGAAGTTATACCTTATTCTTTTTCTTTCCATTTAATGCACGTTAGTATTATTTATTTATGTAATCAATTTAAAATATGTAAATAAATTTAAAATTAAATAGAGTATAAATATTTTACAAAATATACATATATGTTTTTTGAGAATTTAATTTTGTATACTAATTAAACAACATTGATTTAGCAAATGCCAAAATCTCAATCCCTTCTATAATCAATATCTTTTAATTTGTATTATAAGAATTTATAGTTTATTTAGCATATTATGTAATGAAAATATATTTTACAATAATTTCATTATAAAAAGACATAAAAAAATGATAAAAAAAATAATTATGGTTGTCAATAATATACAAATAAATTTTAAAGAACAGTTATTATATTTCAATTTTAATTTTTGAATATTAGAAAAACTATTTAATGTATCTGGTCATTATCTTCTAAATAATATATTATTTTAATTTGAATAATAATTTATTTTTTATATATATCAAAATAAAGCATAAGAAAAAATTATATTAGCAAAGATTAATTCACCAACTTGATTTTGCCTGATTAATTGAAAAAAAAAAATATACCTAACATGTTACGATTTTCTATAACTAATTTTTTTTTGATAAAAAATGAATATTTGTGAAAAAAATTAATATTATGGTTAGAACTTAAAATATGTTGTAACATTTTTCCTGATCGAAATATTATCAACATGGATCACGGAAAATCAATCTTGTAATTTATTATAATGGATATCAATGAAATTATTGCATATATTAATAAAATTATTTAAGGAAATATTATCAACATGAATCACGGAAAATCAATCTTGTAATTATTGCATATATTAATAAGTTACTTGGTGTCAATTTTTCGATCTTGTGAAGCTCCACATCGCACTCATCTTTTCCCACATCTTCACTTCCAAAAACTACTCAAAATGCCTTCATCCGGCCATGATGACTCCACCCAGCAATCCGGCTCCCAGCCTCACAGACGCAACGACGGGGAGACCTCTCGTCGCGCTCAACAGGGACCCATAGTCCCTGTCCCGCCAGTTCCTACCTTTGCTGCGGCCATGCAGCACCTCGATGTCCTCAAAGCCCTCGAGGGGGTCTTCGCAAAGGCCCTCGCCAGCCAGACAGCTGGGGCGAACACCGTGGTGCCCACAGAAAATCCCGGTAACACCCTGCTCCATACCCTGAAAAGGATGCCGGGGGGCAGAAGAACCCGACGAAATCCAAAACCACTGCTCAATCACCGAACCGCGAGGCCTGGAACCGTCGCGACAAAAGCACCAGACCGGCACCTACCGAACAGACGGGAGAGAGCCGCCCAGAGCAAAGCCTCCAGGTCGTCCGTCGCTCAGTTTACCAACGCCTAGGTGATAAGAGCCAAGCCAACCGCGACCTCCGGGAAGTGATCAGGCGAGGCAAAGCTATAGGGCACGACACCGACGAAATCGCGGCCCTCAAACACAGAACCGCCGAACTGGAAGGCCGGCACCCCTCAGGGAGTGAGCTGTCGCTCCCTGCCTATCCACGGTCTTGCACACGACCCACTCCCCGAGTCGCGGATAACGCATCACCTCTTTCCCCCGACATCCTGCAGGAGGCTGTCCCGAAAAAGATAAAGGTGCCGCAGCTTGGCCTCTACGACGGGAGCTCAGACCCTGATTCCCACATCGGCCTCTACACTTTGTGGATGGACCTGCACGGTGCCTCTGACGCCCTACGCTGTCGTATGTTCTCCCTGACGCTGGGGCCAAAGGCGCAGAGGTGGTATCACTCTCTTTACCCCCATTCCATCTCCACCTGGGCGCAGCTCAGGTCAGCGTTCCGGTTGCACTTCATCGGATCGCAGGTCAACCTCGCCCCTAAAGAGTCCATCTCCAATATCGTTCAAGGTGAGAACGAGAGCCTGAAGGACTACATCGCTCGGTTCAATGACCGAGTCCAAAACATGGAGCGATGCCATCCTGACGCCCTGTTGATCACTGCTCAGGGTGGTCTGAGACCGAAAACGCTGTTTAGGTGGTCCCTGTGTCAGAATAAGCCGACCACCTACCAGGAGTTCCTCACCCATGCTCAGGATTACATAATGGCGAAGGAGTCCTCGTCCATCCCGACGTTTGATACCGCGCCGGCGCTAGCAAAAGCGAAGGTGAAGGAAGAAAAATCGGGGAAGCCAAGCAAGTCGTTCGCCGAAATCCGAGCTCAGCGAAGACAAAGAGCTAAGGAACTGAAGGAAAGCTACCAAAGCGTCTTCTCGGTGGGGGCCGCTGCAGTTTATGAAGAAATCAAGGCGAAGGGGTTACTACCGGACCCCAAGCCGATGTTCACCGATAAGGACAAGGTGGATAAGACCCGCTACTGCACCTACCACAAGGCGCACAGGCACAATACCGACCAGTGCCGAAATCTCATCTCGGCGCTTCTCAAACTAATCGACGATCCCCAACTCCGGAGGTTCACCCACTCCGGAGAGAAGAGGAAGAAGGGAGGCCGCTTTGAGGAAGGCCCAGACAGCGATGAGGATGCCGACGTGAATCCTCGAAGGAAGAAGCCACAGCAGGGTGGCCCCCATGAAATCATGACTTTCTGCCCCACCCACCAAGACGAGGCCGGCACCTCTAGGGGCAGAAAGAGAGACCGGTCCCCGCGCACCGGGGCCGACCCGACCGACTACCCAACCCGGCGCATCAACACGAACTGGGGCGAGTCCCTCCTCTCCAGGAGACAAACCAAGGCCTACGCCCGGCAGGCTTATCATGCCGGGCAGAGGGTGATGCACGCCAACCACAGGCCGGTGCCGGAGCCGACCCCAAACACCATCTCCTTCACCGATGAAGACGCCTTTCTGTTTGATCACCCCCATTTCGACGCCCTGGTGATCACGGCGTCGATCATGGCAATAAAGATCCATCGCGTCATGGTCGATACCGGGGCCTACGCGAGCATGCTTTACTACGATACCTTCAAAAAAGATAGGATCGACAGGAAGGAGGTGCAGCCCTGCCGCGAGCGGATCCAGAGTTTCAACGGGCAAACCGTCGCCCCCATCGGCCAAGTCACGCTGCCGATCCGGTTCGGGGAAAAGGGGCAGCCCACGAAGACAATTCTGGAAACCTTCAAGATCGTGGACTGCCCAAGCGAGTATAACGCCATTCTGGGGTGGACGGCCCTCTACAAGCTGAAGGCCGCCGTCTCCATATTTCATTACTCCCTCAAGTTCCCAACCTCCGATGGAGAAGGGACCCACCGAGGGGATCAGAGAGAAGCGCGGGAATGCATTCTAACTATCCCGCGTATTGAGATAAATACGGCAGACCTTCTGGTCGACGCCGAGGTGACAGACATCGGGTCGACGCACAATGGACATAGGGGCAACCGCATGCTGGGAAACCAGACAGGTTCGCGTCCGTTGACCTCGCCGAGTGCCGACCCCGTCTACACGGAACCCGAGACAGAAGAAGACAGCCCAACCCCCGATGCCGGGCTGACTGATCCCAACCAGGG